CCCTATAGAACCCTTTTAAGGAGTTGTGGACTACAGCTCATACAACCCCTATATAAGAATATATTCCCATATTCCCTACTAAATACCAGTAAGTCGTTAAGTATGAGGGCAGTTCGGACTCTGCTTTCACTTCAGCGCTTGGAACTTCCAAGCCGTTGCTGCTTCGGCGCCAGCAAGTTGCTGTAGCTAATATACTATATAATTTTCCATTTTCGTTTCCAGTATCCCTATATACCCCCTATAGAGTATACTAGAGTAGTTTCTATTTTATTTTCCATTATCCCCATACTAGCCCGATATAACCCCCTGAAGATACATGCAAGGCTCGACAATTTAAATGGGCTACAGAGCTTGGATGATCTATATTTTCATGAACGCTCTTGAGAAACCAGCCTCCAAGAAACTACAACCTGCCTTACTACACTTACTAGCGCTTGGCATTGAATAAGGGAATGTAATCTCTATAGACTACATTCCCTTCTTCCCTACAAACCCTATACCCCAAACCCTAAATTATAGTTTCCATTTTCTTCTCTATTATCCCGAACATGTAGTAAGGAAAGCAAGGTTTGACATCTGCTGTCACCAAACACGAAGCCTCGCTCCCGACAACTTCCTAGTTCAATAACTCTTACAGGTTGGATGGCTGTTAAGGAACTGAAAGTAAGTTGTTATAGTATGGGTATATAGGGATATAGGGTCTAGGGTTTAGGGCTTCAGTTACCATAATATGGGTATATGGGGTCTAGGGCTCAACGTTACCATCATATGGGTATATAGTACATAACAGGGTTTCCTTCTTGTAGTAACTTACGTTAAGTTCCTGAACAGCAAGCCAGCAGGTAGATGCGATGGGATTGGCTCATTCGTTTCGACACCCACCCGTCCCCCCTGAGTTGAGGGTTTAGGGTTTAGTCCTAAGCCCGAAACCCCCAAACCCCAAACCCAGTTTCCCAAAAGAGGGGGACCCCCAAAATGTTATAGTCCTTATTATAGGGACACCCCAAAAATCTGGTACCCCTAATTTTTGGAGCCCCCCCCCCCCTATTTCACGCACAAAAGTCTTAGAAGGCGCTGGGAAAATGAAACCGGAGAAGCTGCAAAAGCCGTGCGGACCTCATCCCTCTGGTTCTTAGTAGGGAGTAAGGGGATATAATCTATTATAGAGGGATGAATTATATAGGGACTATAGGGATTATATATAGGGATTGTATAGAGTGGGCATAAGGGAGTAGAACCCCAATAGAATCACGATGTTCAAGTTTAGGGTTAGGGTTTTATATATATATATATATGTCCAAACCATATCCTGAGAACCAGTTCGTCATCTCAGGAAACTCCATTTTTACTTATCGACCCTCCGCGCTGCATTTCCGGATGTAGATTTGGTAGTTAAAAGTGATTCCAATATGGATTTATAAGTGACATAATCTTCTTTATGGGGACCCGCAAGAGGCTACCTTGGTTGCGAGGAAACTCCTATTTGGGGCACCCTTGTAGATTTTGAAAGCTGGCAAGGATGCCAAGAACACTCACTACAGCGCCGAGCTGGGAGCATGACAGGGCCTCAGCAATACACTTGCGCAGGGTTTGGGCTTTAGTCTTGAAGTTTACGGTCAGGTGGAGTTTTCAGGCAAGCAAGTCACATTTGAGCTATGCTTTGTCTATGTGACTAGTTAAAATGTGAAGTTGTGAAGGTTGTCATGATCTTAAGCCTTCCCCGGGCATCGTGGCAACCCTGCATCAGGGCAATCTTTGGGAAGGTGGCTGTTGTAGAAGATGCCACAGCGCTACTGCTTTGGTAGGGAATGAGCTAAACTGGATAAATCAGGGTTATATTGGGGTTATATTGGGATAATGGAAAATAAAATGGAAACTACTATAATGGGGTTATTGGGGTTAGGCTTATATTGGGGTTATATTATGTTGGGTTACAGCAAGGAGCATTATTGAGATGGTGTCAGTTACTTGTAGGATGATCCATCCCTTCCTGCCCCGATGAAAAGCTGTCACAAGCAGCCCGAAAGAAGCTGTTCCGGCTCAAACAGCCCTTTGCCCAGCCGCCCGGTAGCGAGAAAAACGGGTTTGAGCCATGACCATGCCTTCGGAGCCGCAGGAAGCAGCAGCCGAGCGTCACTGGATCAATGTTAGGGATCCTTTACATTTTTTGGGGCATGGGATTCCGTATAGTTATGTAAAAAATGATCCATTTTCTTCTTGGGGCAATGTGGGCCAAGGTCAGTTCAACCGGAAGCTCTGGGTGATCGGGGCCATGAGGCTCATCGACAGCATGAATGTGACCCTGGGTTGTCCTTTGGGATCCTTTTTAATTCCCCCTATTGTTTAGGGGCTTAGGGTTTAGGGTTTAGGGTTATTGTTTTGTAGAGAACCATAATAGTAATTAATTTTCAAAGGGCTTAAAGGACAACCCAGGACCATGCTTATGCCCTATGGACTCCAGTTGGTGTCGATGTTGCTGAATCAGGAAACACAGAGCCCTGAGGCCGCCACAGCATGCGCTGATTCTGGGTTGCTGATAAGGAGCCAAAACAAGCTACCATAACTTATAACATATAGGTATATGGTACTTTCCCAAAATATGGAGACCCCAATTTTGACACCAAAATAGTATAGTATTTATTATGGGGACCCCCAAAATGGCACCCCTGATTTTGGGAAACCCCCCATATAGTAAAAGTAGGGTTTCCTTGTTGTAGGAATTCAAGTTAAGCTCCTGCACACCAACCCAGGATTGGGCTTTACTCCCTCTTTGAGATCGTTTTCTCACCCTTCTGGGGCATGGTGGCGGATATGGTGGGGCGGAGGCCTTGCCTCTTGATCTTCGGCTGCTTAGGGTTTAGGGTTTAGGGTTTAGGGAACTTGGGTTAAGTGTGGCAATGATGGAAAATGTTGAAAAGATCATGAAATTGGAGCCGGGGCTTGTAAAGTGGGATATTACTTACTATGGCTTCCTACTGCTCCCGAACCATAAACTAGCTTCAAATCCTCAACAGAAGCTCAGGATTGGCATCGCAGGGACTGCAGTTGCGCCTGTCCTGCTGGGCCTGGGACAGTCTTTCACAGCCGTCTTACTGTTCCGTGCGCTGGGTGGCTTCTTCTGTGGGAACCAGGCGATCTTGCGAACCTACCTAGGAGAGGTTGCCAAGAAAAGCAATGAGGCCAAAGCGTTCAGCTTTCTGGTGCTCTGTTTTGTCCTGGGCCTCATTGCCGGGCCATTCCTAGGTGGCTTGGCCTTTCCCGCCCGATGGGCCCCTGAAGTTTTTGGTGGGACACTCTTCGAGCGCTATCCAGTCCTCTTGCCAAACCTCCTGTTCGGGGTTGCTGCAGTGATAGTCTGCATCATCGGCCATGTGTGCTTGGAAGAGACACTGCCAAAGGGCCAGCGCTGCAAGTGGGGTCGGAAGCCTGGGGCCGCTCCGAGCGATATGGAGGTGGCAGACCTTGCAGACGCAGCAAGGAGCAGCAAATACTGCTATTCCATGCCTGTTCTGCAGGCCCTTCTAGCCTTTTGTGCACTGGCCGGTGCCGTAGAGGCACAGAACACCTTAGTCATCTTGGTCTGGCAGTATCCGGAATCTTCAGATGGTTTCGGCTTCAGCCCCCAGCAAGTGTCAATCGTCCAAGTCTCAGGCGCTTTGGGCCCTGCACTCTGCCACTTGACCTTCTTCCAAAAGCTTGCCAAAAGGGTGGGCTTTGTCCAGGTTCTTGTGCTGGGATTCGTGCTTAACAGTCTGGCCTACAACCTCTACCCGGTCTATGGCCTCTTCGTTGATCCCGCGAAGTATGGCCTTTGGAGATACCTTATCTTGGGCATTGCAGACTTTGTGGGCATGATGGGGACATTTCTGCTCTTCTCTGCCGTCTTTGTTTTCCTGAACCGAGCATCAGAAGGGCTGAATCGCGCGACGGTCAATGGCTGGGCAAACTCCGGTCGCGCACTGAGCCGTGCGATCTCTCCGCTCTTTGCCTCAGAGCTTCTTAACGTTTTTGCAGAATGGCCTCGTGGACGGTACATGCCCTTCCACATCACAACTGTCTGCTTGGCCTTGTGCATTGCCATCTCATGGACCGGGCTGCGCAAGCTGAACTAGAACTAGAAGCTTGCTCCGAACAAAGAGCGCGAAACGCAGCGACGTGGAGATGACCGCTATGCTGCGTAAAGAACAGGGAGCAGCATGCTCTTGAGCCAACGGTGGGATAATGAACTCCCAGCCCATCAGGCAAAGATCAGCTCCACAAGAAGCTAAGCCATTTCCCTGTAAAGCTGTGCTTAGTTGCTGTGTTTGCTGGTCATCTTTAATTGTCATGGGGACTCATACAGGGGGGAGCTCGCACAGAGTCTCACCGCCGCCACGCGCGGGACGCATGATAAAGGAAGCGTCGGAAATCACAGAGTATGCTTGGACCGGCCTTGCACAAAGCATTTGCATGTCTGTTCTTATCAGTTGAACGGCCTGCTGTTGATGAGGAGAAGTATATATTGAAAATATACTACAGTTACTACAGTATATTATTATATACTAGAATATCTTCTAGTATATTGAAATTCTAGAATATACCATGTTTTATAGTATAGTATACGACAGTATATTAGAATATATTATAACATACTACAATATGCTATACTATAATATACCCAATCAAAGTGGAGTAAGATTCTATGCTAAACCCTAAACCCCGAACCCTAGTAAGATTCTATGTGCTAAAATTTTGCTGATGCTTCTGCTGATGCCAAAGTTCCTGGTTCCCACATACTCATAGAAGGTCTTTAGGGGCATGCAGGATTGTTAGCTTCCATCGCATAGATCCGGGGATGTATTCGCGGTCTTTGCAGCTCGGGAGAGGTCATCCAAGCATTTGACGACCATGGCCACTTCGACAAGAAGGCAGGTTGTTTGAAGCTTCTGGGTCCCCATTATAAGACGGCGCCCAAAATCTTTGGCACCCCAAATTGGACGGTAATTGTGACTAGCCCCTCTTATCTGCTTTCAGAGTCTGCGCCATGTTGCCCCCATGCAGTCTCGACATGATCCACATGATCATACCAGGGACGCCGATTTGACAAAACCCCCGGACCCAGTTGCCATACAGAACGCCTATAAGCTATAATCTAAAATCCTAGTATCCCCCTTAACAACCCCCATAATACTCCCCAATAGAATCCCCTATATACCCCCCTTTAAGGAGGTTCGTCTACAGCTCTTATAAGTCCTTACGCAACCCTGTATTTATAATAGTAATAGCAATAGTAGTAAAGATAGCAACAACAGCAATATTACTTACAGTAAAGTAATAACAGTAAAATTAGCAACAGCTCTGATAGAAATCACAATAATATTAACTCGAATAAGAATAAGTAACAGCAAATAATAGTCAGGTCGGAATATCTGAAGTCCCCAGCCGATGAGACCCAGAATAGCTTGTGTCCAAAGTAACCTCAACCTTGATAGAAAGGGTTGTTAAGGGTTTGTGGGTTTAGGGGTTTAGGGGTGTAGGGTTTAAGGTTTGGGGGTTTTAGGGGTTTAGGGTTTGGGATTTGGGGGTTTAGGGGTTCAGGGTTTAGAGTTTAGAGTTTGGGGTTTAGGGTTGAGGGCTCAGGGTTGAGGAGCTGAAATGAGCCATAGTAAAAACAAACTGCTTACAGAGGGTTATAGAGGGGATTATGTAGGGAGTATTATGGGGGTCATTCAGGGGGATACTAGGAGTTTAGACTATAGCTCAAATGAGGTTCCTATGCTGGGGAAACACTATTAGTTACCATACGCCATATTATGGTAACTTAGTTTGAGACCCACGAGGTGCTGCAACTTCCGAGCATGACTCCAGATATGTGCGGTTTAGGGCTTAGGGGTTGAGTGTTTAGGGTTTAGGGGGTGGAGACCGGTGCAGCTCAAGCAGAGAGGAGCACGAAGTCGAGGTTAGGATGTTGCTCTTAAGGAACTTGAATGAAGTTACTAGAGCAAGGAAGCCCTGTTATTTGACATATACCATATACCCAAAATACGGAAAAAAACATTCAAGTTCCTTAACATCAGTTCAGTCTGTAGGACGTTGCTGGAGAAGGCCGAGTTGAAATTGGCCAGGATAGCAAGAAGTGTCTAGACATCATGGGTTCGCCTACTACCCCCCTCTATACCACTCCCCCTTACATTTCCCCTTAATTAACCTTAATTAGGCCTACATACCACTAAATAACATACGTCGAGGATGTTGGGGCATTGGGATCTGTGGCCCCTCCCAGTAGCTGAGATGTTCAGGAGAATTCTTAGCACGTCCACTTCAAGAGCAGCATTGCATGTTGTATGTCATTACGTTGCACTGTGATACTCAACTGGGAAGTACGTAAACAAGCAGCGCACTTTCAACTATAAGCACCTATGAAGGTTGACAGCTCCCTGGCCATAGTACCCTGCTGATTCATTGTACCTTCTTTTGGGAAACTGCGCAGTGCGTCGTTACACAAGTCATGCCTGTATTGTGTGGCATCCATGTCAGGGTCAATGACGCAGATCGGCGCATAAATGCAACAGTGTTATAGAAGACACATTTTACGTGAGAACCGCTGTCATCCGCTGTCTATGTTGCTCTTGTCTTCATGGGGAGCCCATGCCCGAAATTTCTTGGAAGCGTTGCCGCTGCCCAATTGTGGAATGCCTAGAAAACACGACAAGTTCCTGATTTTGGGATCCCATGCGGCGGCCTTAGGTTGCAAACCCTTGGCAACAGAGGATCACCTGTGCCGTTCGGTATGACTTGCCAGTATAGGGTTGAGGGGACAGTTTCTGTTCGGTATGCAGCACAGAAGTCGTTGTGGAGTGATCGTCAAGCATGCTGTAGCCTGGCACGGCGGTACGAGATCTGACCCAACTATTGTGAGGCCTTCTAGCGGTAGGCCGACGCCGCCCTCCACCCTAGACCCTAAACCCCAACCCTCCAAGCACCTCTCTTCCCCCCTTTACCCTTTACTGCTTTGCTGCCAATACATGGCAGGCAGCAGCTTGGCCAGCAGATGCACATCAATTGAAGTGCTTTGCACACCACAACGCAGAAGACCGGTGCTTGGTGAGTTCATGATGGGTCCTGTAGCTTCGGCATCGGTTTTCAATGTGCTTTCCAAGCGTTTTCTTCTTCTTCTTGTGGTCGTCTATGTCTCTCCAGGTCCAGGATGGTGTAGGTCCATCACCTTGACCGTGCAGCACTGCTCCACGGGCCTGGTAGTGCATTCATAGACTGCAAGTTTGTGAGCACAACTTTTAAAACTGATCCCGACGGAGCTGCACCTTTTTCTGACGCCATCTGGCAGCTTCTAAAGTGATGCTGGCATGGCTAGTCAGCCTGCAATTGATTCAAAAGGTGCAGGGCGGGAAGTTCATGGAGATTCAGGGCATTTCAGGTGCACCTGGTACTTCAGTTGGGAAACCTTGACAGGAAATGGAGCATCTTGCAAAGATGCTTGTGGCAAGGAAGTGTCTAGCGATTGAGGTTTAGGGGTTCAGGGCTTGGAGGTTTAGAGGTTTAGGGGTGTTTAGGGTTTAGGAGTTTAGGGGTTTCGGCTTTGGGGTTTAGTGGTTTAGGGTTTGGAGATTTAGGGGTTTAGGGTTTAGACGCTTAGGATTTAGGGTTTAGAGGTTTAGGGGTTTAGGGTTTAGACGCTTAGGATTTAGGGTTTAGAGGTTTAGGAATGTAGGGTTTAGGGTTTCACTGTTGCGACAAATTGTGTGCAGTGCATCTGTAGAAATTCGTGTACACATGCCATCTATCTGCAAGCATACACATACACATGCATATGCATGTCTGCATATATAGATATATCTGTGCGTGTGTCCATATCTATACGCATACTTTTCAACTAGGCCGGTCGCAGGAGCTGTGGGAACGGGCATCCGATGAAGGGTTGCACTGCTACCGAAGGTGCAGCCTATCCTGCTGGGTGGTTGTCAAAAATATGGTCCCTTTTTGGGTACCCTAAATATTAGGTGCCGTACTATAATCGGGATCCAAAAAGCGACCATAATTTTGATAACCACCCTCCCATGTTCGAGGGGGGTATCAAGACTGTGTTGCATTCTGGGTCCACTTTATCATGCGACCCTAAGCCCCAAGCCCCAAACCCTAACGTGTGGGCTGCCCAACGGGACCTTAGTTCTGACAAGCCTTATGTGTTGTTTTCTCTGACCACAAAATGGGACGGATGAGGTTAGGGCTTCGGTTTAGGGTTTTGTTCTATTCCCTGCAGCCGCCCTTATCAGTTCTTTTCGCATTTCCTATACAGTTTCTTAAGCTTTTCCTAAGCCTTACCCCCGGCGCGTTGTCACAAGCATCCCTGTCAGAAATTCACAGCAGACTATACCCTAAACCCGAAAAGTACTGGGTTGCTGTTAAGGAACTTGAACTAAGTTACCATCATTTGTTTACACAGTAATTAATATGGTTTCCCCAATATAGCAACTTACATTAAATTCCTTCACAGCAACCCAGATTTTAGCTGTAGACTCCCGTATTGGAAAGGTAGAGCCCCAAGGGGTCATTCGCAAAATCATGTGCCCCTTCTGGTTCTAGATAACATTAGGCACATATAGTACTCACGGGTAATTCGTTTGGGTACCCTAATTTCGGGAATTATCCCTAGATCCTAAACCCTAAGCCCGAAGCCCTAGGCCCTAAGCCCCGTCATCAAAACGGGACCCTAATCTTGGGAACTACCCCAATCTTTGCGTGCATGAACCATGGATGGTCGGAGACCTGATCTGAGTGTCGTCGCAGCGCATAGGCTCAAGAATCCACCGTCCAGGTTAATGAACCCCAAACCCTAAACCCTATAGTCCCCCGTAAGTAGATAGAGTATGGGGTATATGGAGATCTCACTAGAATCTGGATTGACTCCATGTTCTATCTACATAAGGGGTACTATAAACCAAGAATAGCAGCGTTCATTCTTATAAAGCAAATCCTCCTACTGCTGCTGGTTGAGACGAGGAGGAAGCATGCTGACACAAGGCCAAGCAGCAGTTCTTGCATTGACGGCGCGCAAGAAGACGTCAGCATGCCGCGGCCCAGTCCCAACTCACTAAGGTTACATCTTATAATATAC